CAACTTAGAGTAGCGCCTAAAGATTACTTCGTGTGGCTATAAACGACCGTTAAATGAAATGATGAATTTTGAAGGATTTTGAAAACGGAAAAAATGATAGTCATGCTGGCCCAGCAACATCAACATTGAAAAATGCCCCGGCATGAAGTGGTTAAGGAGAACACCAAGGGTGGAGTGTGCCATGCCCTGAGGGCTGGAGTCTGACAACAATTCATGTTACATTAAGAATTCACTTCCAAATGGCTGCAAAACCTTTGAGACAATGACAACTAGCCAGAATAATTAAATCCATCTCCTGTAATGTTCGGCCAACTGCTGAAGTAGGCAGGTCTTGCACCCGGAGCATACCAGGATGGCATTGGAGAAGTCCATGTCATTTAGTGGGTTCAAGGTAACCATCCATTATACATGTAAGTTTAATAATTTTGAACTCTTAAAGTCTCTACCTTTTTTATGAACTACTTTTACTCCATCAGTTGCTCTTGTAAACTGTACTTCTGTGTTTTGCGGTGAGAATTTTTATATTCAGCACTATAAACAGCATTCAGGCAAAAAGCAATTCTGGACTGATACTGATTCTAACAACATAAAAGAAAGTAGCACAGATGAGCCTACCTGACTACACCAAGCTGTCCGATGCGGTAGGCCATCTTGTTGAGGTAGGCAATCCGTTCAATGATCAGACGACTACTGGTACCCGGCAGGGTGACAACATTCTCAAGGCATGGTGTTGCTGTCAGGGAGCTGTGCCTTGTGTGGCCGGATGAAGGTGTAGTGGCAGTGGTTTCCTTCAAGAAAATAACAAGGAACACTGTCAACATAATGAGTTGTTCTAAAATGGTGCGCCTTCAATGTTTGTCAAAGAAAGGGTCTCCCACTAAAGGGTTGCCACTGCCAACCACGCAATGCTTTATGGGTAACCAGAGCTGCCCACCTTCAATTCAGCTTTTCAGTAGTCCAAAGGCCAAAAATCAATATTCTGATAAAGAAATCAGTAGTTTTCTAGGTGATGCTGTCAGAATGTGCACTTTTACTCCCAACTGGTACTGTACAGTATACTCAAAAAGCCCTTAGGCTGTTTCAGTCTGGAAACATCTTTTTCACAAGGTCAGTCAAGTGATCAGCGGCAGCAAGGGAGCACTTTATGTTCAAAATTAAAAACTGCAACATGCTCTTATTACTGGAAAGTCTTTTGGCTGAAAGAACTGAGCGATGTCACCAGCACTTTTTGATGATGCAACGTTGGACTGGTGCTTTTTTGATATATGTGAACTTGAAAGTCATTCGTACACATGTATCTCCTTGGTCAATGGAAAAGTCGGACAAATAAGGTGTACATCTCAGGCTATGTTCATCCCTTCTGGGTAGTGAAATACATGTTAATCTGAGTACGTATTCCTATTTGAAAGGCTGATTTCTAAAACTGTTCGAAAGCCATTTTTATGATCAGCTGTGCTACGTTGGATTAGAGAATCTAATCACCAAGGTGCGCATAGTGCACCCGTACACACTACACATTAGGCTGGGCTGCAGTGCAAAGTACATTGCCAGATAACTGTAGACTTCAGGGAATCAGACTATCCTCTGCTCTGTGATTGGGGCACCATGAAAATTGGACTCCGTAAAATCCGGATTCCATATGTTTACTGTGCATGTAATCAGCTTTGTTTGGGATCGAATCACAGTGCCCACTGGCCAAGCATGGTATAGCAAGCCTCAACATTGTGTACTGAAAAATGCCATGATTGGATTTTCCAAATCTATATGAAAACGGAAAATCCATTCTCATTGGCAGTTCTGGGTTACAGCACTTTTGATATTGCCCAAATTGAAAATTGAAAATTCAATAAGATTTGACGAAGGGAGGAAAGTTTTGAATGATTGTGGAATACCACGAAGTGACACAGAAGAAATTAAAATTTGGATGAAACAGTATGGACAGTGTATGCATACGATGATTTGGAGCCATGTGTGATTGCTTGACAACAGAGTTCTGAGTTGGTGACTTTTTCCCACAATGTAATGCATACTTCCACTGATTGGAACTCCCTCAATTGATGGATGATTCTGTAATAACAACTCCTACGCTATTGTGATCAAGAAAGAGTAGAACAGAATCCGGCCTTGATGTGGTTTGGTGTATATGGTGGCCTTTAACCACTTCATGCTGGGCCCATTTATCCATGTTGATTCTGCTAGGCCGGGTGATTTTTCATTTTTTTCTATATTCGAAATTCTTTGAAAATTCATTACTTCATTTACTAGACGTTAACACCCACACAAATGATTGTCTGGTGGCTGCTCTAATCTGACAGACAACATCTATCTACACCCGAATATTTCAGCCAGGTCTGCCGCCTTGTAAAAACAGCCTAGATTGTGCAGTGTAATGTGATTTTCTTTTGCTCCCGAAACAGGCACAGTACCCTGCTGACCTCTTTTTAATATGGGCCAGGTTAGCATGCAACGGTATTGTATCGCTCATCACTGGAGCGCTGGAACGCTTTTGTCCCCAGTGGTAATCCGCTTGCTCTGAATGCTACAAACAGTGGTATAATCTTTCAAACAATGACAGAATTCCTCCGCTTTCGACAACTGAAAAAATGTTGGAAATTCCCAGCAGCTCAGTCTTTTGTTCCAATTACAGTCTTTTGTTACAAGGCCCAGCTCTTCCGGTTTCGGGCAGCCTGGCATTAGGCATAAAGAAAACGTGACCAAAACTGGGTCCCCTGGCAGCAAGTGGTTAACCCCTTTGCGCCGATAATTCTTTTGACCGTGACTGCTGGGCTGTGGTATGCCCTGAATGGAGGGCTTTGTCCAGCAGTAGGCCCCATTGAACCAGCAGCTGCATGATGAATAGACTGTATGTGTGGTATGCACTAATCCTCACACAAAGCCGCGGCTCTTGCTGTCTCCCGGAGCAAAGGGGCTAAGCGATGGAAATGTAAACAACATACATGTAATTAGGATAAGGGTGTATGGCTGTAATTATTTCTTCATGAGAGTGAAGAACGGGACACAGTATATGCTTACGCTCTGTTCACATTTGGCATCAAGCTCAAAGCCAGCATTACTGGAGAGAAGTTCGACACAGTTCTACAAAAAAAGCAAATTTCATACACAGAGAAAAGGATGACCCAAAAAACAAAAACCATGACATTGGAAACTTGATGTCATCTGAGACTAGGGACAATGTTTCAGGGCAGGCACCATCTCCATATGAGAGATGTTCAGCCTACATGCAAGGCATGTCCCATAGACATGGTCAGAAGGGACGTTTCACGAGGTAAAATGGCAGAACAAAATGGTTGGACATTCATTAATTCAGAACTATCAGTAGGCTTTACTTTTTAACCCCTAAAAAATGGCATTAATAAATGAAGGACACCGGAATCGGCGGTCTGTCTCAGCCATTGAAAAGCCAGACCATGCCCAGGCAAAGCAGGGGGCTTGGGCTCCTTTGATGCCTTTCTTTGAAAGGTATTCTCTCCAAACCAGCTGGGTTCTGTGCTGTCATCAGCCCTTACCTTTTGCTTGGGCAATTATCAGTGACCACCTCCCAAGCAAGTTTTAACACCCCTTTTTGAAACTAATCCAGTATAAATATCTGCCTATTTGTAAGTGTGCTTTGGGCAAAGCTGTGAAAGAGAAGATGTTTACAAAAGAATTATGTGTTTCTGATGGAGGAAAACAATTCAAAAGAAAAAACTGAAACAAACACCAACAACATGATGCTCCTAATTAAACTAAAACTCTCTAGAGGTGTTATAGAAACCTGACAAGTTCCCCTCAAAAATTGCTACCAAAAACTCACCTTGCTGATCAGTTGCTGGTGTACGTGATGAAGGGAAGCGTGGGCCAACATGAGATTCATCACGTTGGTGAAGAAACACAGTTGCTCCCCGGGGCTATCCAGCCGGTCCAGGTCGACGAAAGCCAACTCCCTGGTGGCCTCGCACAGGTCCCGGAAGTCCTTACTGCTGCTGGCCAGCACACTGGCTCGCAGGCCAAACTTGCCATTGGAATTGATGCTTGTCATATGACCTAAGCCACAGAGGAACCAACAACACCAGATCATACAAAACACGAATCAAGAAGGAGCATCTACTGCTCCTACACACAGAGACACACTGAGTGCATCCACTGAGATACATAGTATGGTAGGTGAGGTGGCAGAAGGTGGTAGTCAATGTGTGCAAGAGGGCACTAGTTTGATGTTGCCATGGAGGGAATACCTTGTCAAAAGAGTATAAAAACAGAACACAAATCTATCCTTCAAAGGGGAAATGGTTGGAAGAAATAGTGACCCTACTAATGTCTATATAAGCTCTTTAACATAACCAAGGAAAGAGTGGAACCTCCTCCAAGAAATTGTAGAAATGCACTCTTTGGACACAAAGCTATGGAGACACTGCATGAAATCCAAAACATTGAAATTTCTCCCTTTTAATGCTGCAAACCCGCTGGAAAGTCACTGTAACATGTAAATGAAGCTGTGCTTCATCTATTCAAGTCATACAAATCCTATTGCATGGTATCTTTTGAAGCCTACAAGTATATATGCAATAGTGGATTAATTCCCACTGTTAATGTAAATTTTCATACCAACACCTGTGACAGTTTAAATCCTTTTTTGAAATTTATTGTTTACCCTTTGCACAGACGAATCTTTGCCCGTGACCTACAAAACACTTCTAATCTCCTGGGGATGCTTAGCAGTTTTCCGGGCAGAGGAAGACATTTAAGCAACACAACGTGGTGCCAGTAAGCTAAGAGGAGTGTGCAAAATTTTTCTGCAGTTTTTCTTGTTACCCTTCATGAGCATGATCATCCTGGACAGGAGATCCCGAGCGACGACCTCGGGATGCCTGGCGTCGCATGGCCACTTTGAGCCCTCTCCGGGATTGTTCAGAACAATTCTACAGGGGGAACTCTTTGCTGAAGGAGACGTGGGGCTCGGCGGTTGGTGGTCTTGCTTGAGGTGTATGGGGATGGTAGGGCAGCAACTACGGATGATGACGTGAACAAGGTTTAGCTTCAACTGGTCTGCCACACCTTCTAACCTGGAAACCGAAGCCGCAAGAAAAAGCAGCAAAATGAAAAAGAAAAACGAAGGCTGCTGAATTCGCCGAGCGTTAATCAATATTTATAAAGTCCCATTTTCAGGATTCAATTCAAGTACAGGTTGAGAAACTGGCTGGCAACTCCCATGACGTGGACTCGGTAACAATGCCTCTAATAGATTCCTGCTATGATTCTGTAACAATGCCTGAGATTCCTGCCATGACTCTGTAACAATGCCTGAGATTCCTGCCATGACTCTGTAACAATGCCTGAGATTCCTGCCATGATTCTGTAACAATGCCTGAGATTCCTGCCATGACTCTGTAACAATGCCTGAGATTCCTGCCATGACTGTAACAATGCCTTAGAATCCCGCCATGACTCTGTATATTCCTGCCATGAAAATGTTTATGTTCCAATTGAAAGTTGCCATTGGAACATTGGCGTTCCTTAGGAATGTCTATGCATCACAGGGACGCTTGCTTTGTGCACGGATTATTCCAGTGCAGCATTCAAATGGGAATACTAAGTTACCAATTAAACAGATGCCTGTGCTGAACTGAGATCAAGGCTTTCCAAATGGAACATTGCCACCGTTCCAAACTACGAGACACTTACAGACACCTTACAGATTCTGAAAAGTTTCCTAGGAAAGTCAGCAATATCTAAATGGGTTCAAGGCTAGTGAGGAATTGGTCAAAGAACTTTTTTGGACCTGGTCGGCGGGATCTGGTTCTGGAACATGAGTCTCCCTAGCAGGAAGTTGGGGCTGTCCTCCAGGACACAGTAAGGGTTGACTGCCTTCATGCTGCCGCTAGGAACCGGCTGGTCCAGACCTGACAGTGAGGAACCCACGGACATAAAAAAAAAGAATGAAAAACAACAAAATCGAGGCATTTGGGAATCAGACAGCATAATACGCTACTCTTAGCAACCTGCTGCACGATACTGATCTGCGTGAAAGATTCATCATGGAATTGTCGCGGAATAAAGTGTGTAGGTGATCGGCACCTTTGTAAAGAGTATACATGTATGTATAAGCACAAATACTGATTTTGAGTCCTTCACAAATGTACCTCATACACATTATTACACACATTCCTGACATTAGATATTGACGTTGACCCTCTGATGTCCCACAATCCCTTGCAGGTCTTGAATAAAAATAAAGCTGTTTATATTTTAGTCTCTGCTGATTCAGCTGAGTATAAGGCTTGTCTCAGAATTGAACCATCAAGCAGCCTCTTGTGATACTATGGTTTGCTGTTTTTGTGATGTTTTGCCGTTGCATTCAAGTTTAAGGTTTCTAAAAATGTATCCGTTAATTATTTTTGTTTTTTATTAAATCTTAAGTTACAAAATTGATGCGACAGATCATGTGGCTCAGAGTCGCAAAACCAGTGTCCATTCAATACCGTTGGCAGATTAACTGTGCGTGCCCTGGCCTTTACTAAAAGACGACTTAAAACAAGTGTGGACCAATGTACCCAGTTTCTCAGCTACTTAATTACAATTAACTCTTCAAAAACTAATGGCTTTCCCTTCTAATCCTTGGGGAAATAATGCCCACTTGTCACTATCTAACATAAAAAAACCACTGTTTTATCAAGTTGACGTTCAAGAATTACAAACGGCAACTGCATAGTGTTCGGTAGGTTTTGTGCTCAAAATATTGGGAGCCAAGGACGATGTTCGGTACAGCCGAATGTTCGGTATAGCGGCATTCCACTGTATTCACGAGGCACAATGATGTACTAGCTGTTCAACATACCAGGATACCATTCCTTGGCTTCCACTAGCAAGGAGGAGAGGACAGAAACATGACCATAGAGGCTCATCAAGTAGTTGGAGAACTCAGTGTCCTGGTCTGGGCCCACGGTTGACAAGAGGGCAGTCAGTGAGTAGCAATGGTTCCCGTTCCTGTCAAAGGTTTGAAGGAGCTGTCTCATGGCTTGGTGGACCATGGAACGTCCCTTGTGGGATGGGCTCAAGCCGCGGTCCATTTCCGATGGAAGGAGGCCAGAGGCTTGTGACCCAGAGGGATCTGGAGTCCGCTGGTTGCCCTCGGTTTGGAGGGCACGGCTGAGTCCCGTGACAGCTTTCCTCTGTTCCAGGACAGAATTGACTTGTGCCCGCAGGCCGACTGCATCCAGCGGTTTGGTTGCCTGCAGTAGGGCATCCCTAGCACTGCGCCGAAAGAACTCCTCCATGATGTCCTGCCTGATGAGGGCTGTCGAATCAGCTGAAGTTGGAGCTATTAGACTGGCTATTTGGTGCACAAAGGGCAGTACGCCTACAAGAAGCAGCAGAGGGTCCATTTTGGAGCCGGACTGCAGGCGTGACCTGGGGGACTGGTCAAATTCACCCGGGATGTGCTGTCCCAGTTGAAGTCGGCCCATAGCGACTTCGAGCAAGTCCCTACTGGCTTTCCAGGAAGTGCAGGCTGAGCAGGCCAGGTCAAAGACCACCACCCCAGCCACGTTCAGCTTCCGGATGCTCTTGAGCATGGCGGCAGCAACTGAGTGCTTCTCGGGCTGATCCAAGCCGACTAGTGAGGCTGTGGGGAACAGCGGCAGTACAGACTTGGCCAGCAGGTCGTCCACAACCCCAGTGACTGACAAGGATGCTGTCCCCGATGCTGCTATGGTAGCGATGGAGGATGATGACTTAGACGGTTGGCCTTTCAGGGCCGAGGGCATGGCATCTGACTTGGCGGCCTTGGTGTCCAGATTCTGGAGACGACGTAACGTCTGCTCCCAGTGTTCAGCAAAGTAGACCTCTGACACCTCAGGCGTGTTCTCAAGCTCAAACATCTTCACCACCTGCACGACACAAATCGGATAACAATAATAATATCAAAGAACTTACAATGTGCACAGTATCTTAAAGTACCTGCTGACCATTGAAGTCTTCCTCAAGTGTTACCTGTAGGGCCTGGGAGTAGCTGCCCCTGTGCAGGCACATCCTCAACAGGGTGTCCTGGGAGGACAGCATCCTGGCGATTACACCATGCTCCCCAGTGTTGGACGCCTTGTTGACCGGCTGGCATTTCCTCCGCCGACGTTTCTTTCGCCGTTTGCTGCTGCTGGTGCTGCCATCTGGGGGAGACGAAAAAAATTGTGGCTAATACCGGTACATTCACCTCCCTTCTACAGGATATAACAAAGCTGCTAAGCCAATATCACTTGGTAATCCTGATAACTGTTAATTGATAACTGTTAATTGTATTTGCTACACCAAAAGTGAACAGCGGAGAGTCTGACGTCAAGCACTTCAGCCAACAAACTTAAAGAGGAGCGTCCATGAAAATCTAATCCAGTAACAGCAACCAGAGGTCATCTGCCATATTCCCTGATTTGTTATAAACATTCTTTTAGATAAATGTACTTTATGGCAACCCTATTCCTTGTAGCAGCTTTTAGTGTTTGTCAGTGGCCGATACCCAAGTGTAGTTCCAAATCGGGAATAAAGCCTTCTAATCCCCAGTGCTACTTGTTACAGAAGCAGTCAGCATTCTAACAAGGCTGTACACCTTTTTGTCTGTGCTATTTTTTTTCCTGCATGAAATTCCCTGACAATGAAAATGACACACAGATTCACTGACATTTGTTTACTGAGGCAGCAATAGGATAGCGATAAAATATGTATACTCAAAATAGAAAAGGTGACCAGCGATAAGATCGAATGAGATGAGATGAGCTGAATGGTGATGCCTGCATTCTAATATTCCCTGGGTATTTCTTCTTTTTTTAATTTGTTCTGTTTTCTCTTCCCTTCCCTTCCCTTCTAAAAATCTAAATGTAACTCTCCATCAATCAGACGATGGCAAGAACTGCAAGCTGCCTTGTTGCATTGTTTAGTAGAAGAAAAAAAAATCACAGAGAAAGGTTACTTATGGCTGCTCTTTCTTAAGCAAGGAAAACTTGAGGAAAACCAGTAAAAAATGAATGACTTTGCGCAACGAGACATGAGATGAACTGTACACAGGGAAAGTCCGTAATGGAACCCGTTTTGATTTTTCCACTGCTCTTCCCACCCTCAAAAAAACAACTCCGTTCTTCCCAGTGCCACAAAACTGGGGGAAACAAATCCAAGACAGAAATGAGAAGAAATGCTACATGTATACCATACATGTAGTTTCCACTTTTTTCCCAACAAAGACAACCACTAGATGTTATGCACACTACAGAAAATTAATTAAGGGCTGACGTTCCACACGCAGACACTCTGAATAACAAGAAAGATAATTTCCAATTTGGCTATCCAGGTGGTGCAAAATAAGAGTTAAATGACATAAGTTTGAACCCCAGACAAATGACCAAAACCTTGGTCTGTTGCCTGTGCTAGAGTCTTGGCCTTCCACAAGTTGAGCTAACCTGTGGATGCGAACCCTGTGTTGCGTTTGGCCGAGAGTGGACAGGAATTCGCCCTTGAGTACCTCCTTGCAGTCCCTGTATTTATGCAAAGTTTGAGTTTGGGGATGACAAGCAAATTTCAAACAGTCAAACATTTTTATCATAGCATTCCCCTTGCACAACTACATGTACATGTACATGTACATCTGTAAACTATGAGATTGCAAATGAAAAATGGACTACTTAAGCCACCCACACAGGTGAACTATGACCACTGTCATCCCAAACAGGAAGGACTTGCTACTGGAATTTTAAAAAGGCAAAATACGTTAACGTTTTCTGGTACATCTTCCAAGACACATTTGTCATTTTTTAATCCCTGATTTTGTGTATATACCTTTTCGATTTTTCAGGTCTGGGTAATTCCAGAAATGTGAGGTCCATTCTTTTCATGTCCCTGTCACATCTGACATACCGGTATGACTTTGTATTTAGTTCAGAACATATTTTCTAGAATTTTTCAGAGTAATGAATTAATGCAAATTACCTGCCAAACAAACAGTAATATTGGTAATTTGAAATCAATTATGGTGACATTTCCATGTCAATTAACAATGGACACAAAAATGTCACACTTTTGGACCCCTAATTTCTGGAACTACCCGCCTACTCTGTACACAAAATTTTGAATTAGTAAACCAACACAAGTTCAACTGCAAAACTTGGAATACAAGCAAGAAGCAAGCATATGTGTCCGAAACAAAGAATGAATGGACGTATAAAAGTCGAACAAAAAAATGAGCGAAGCACATGTGAAATGCATGTATGAAAAGAAAAAGACAGAAGACGGAATGGCAAATGTTAGAATTTTACCCAAAATGCTTTAGGAATCATAAGTTGATGTTCAAACTAGGAAATGCACTCATTCATGAATTTATAGTTTATTTCTCCAGCCACTGATATACCTGAACCACTTCTTCCACTGAAGCTGCTGACCCGACTCCTACTTCGCTTGCCGTGGCATTTGTCTCCTCTCTTATCATCTTTATCTCTATGGGAACCGGTCATGTACAGCTCCTCGTCACTACTACTGTCTGCCATGGGCTGGCAGCCACTGGCCAGTCCATGCGTTGCATTCTGGGAGCTGGTGGCCTGCGATACGAGCCGGTAGCGCCACCAGGCCTCGTTTACCCTCTGCGTCAATTGTGAGATGTGCTGCGCCATAGTGGATGTCAACACCGAGCAGTGCATGTACTTCATCAGCCTCCCGCCAGCTTCCTGGAGGACCTCTAACGATGCGCTAGGACCGGCTAAGGAGTACCTTGCCTCGGACAGGTCGGCCAGGCATTCCTTCAGGGTGCTCAGCAAGGCATCGGTAATGTCTTCCTCTGCTACAAAGCAGATCTTCACCGCCCCCAGGCTGTTGGAGCTGAGCTGGCTATGCGATTCCGAGCTGCGCTCCGTGTTGGACCTTTGGGCCACAGCTGATCCCGAGCTGGTTCGTTCTCGCTTCTCGGAACTCCTCAAGCTCTCCAACACACCAGTGCTCATCGATTCTGTGGGCAACTCATCCTGGACAGCTGCTGCAACACTCAACAGATTTGAGTCACTTGCTGATGGGCCATCTCTGAGTGTATCAGCCTCCAGGTTAAAGGTAAAGGACTCACACTTTGGCGTGCTGTCAAGGCTGGTGACACTCCCCTTCTGCCAATCCTCATCCACAACACCTTCTTCTCCTCCACTGTCAGACATCGTTGCCCTTGCCACAAAGGCATCCTCGCTGCGAGTGAACAGCAAGGAGAAAATGTTCTCCAGGGTTTCAACTCTGTAAGTCAGTGGGTACAGGAGTGACAGTTGGTGCCTGGCTTCCCTGAGGTGCCGCCAGACATTCTTCTCCCACAGGCTTTCTCGTGGTGAGCCAGTACTGTCATTCGCAGCCTCTTCATGAGCATGAAGAGGCTGGTGGGGTGATGAAAGGGTACTGCCGGTGCTCCTTGAGGTCTCGGTGTCAAGTGATGCACCAGCACTCTGGGATACTCCTTGCTTGCTCGCGTCCTGGTTGGATTTTTCCTTTGGCTTCTTACACTGGGTACTGTTGGAGAGAGCCATCATGCAGCTCTTGATGGCAAGGAAACTGCGATAGACGGCTATGTCCCTCTCTTGCTGGATGGAGAGCTGTTGGGGCTCCTCAAAACGTACAGTCTTCCCACTGAATTTGGTACTCTCCTCTGGCTTGACCCCTGTTGTAAAACAGACATTAACTTAAACTTAACTAAAAGTGATCAACTCATCAGTGAGCCGTCTTACTGCAAAGCAACTGATGAAATACCTCGAAAAAAATTTTTGCCATCCAATTTCTTCAGAAACTCTTTGATTTGATGATCTAGCATTTCATGGCTGTGATGGTCTTGTCCCTAAATTTCATGACTTCTACAGAAGTACCATAGGGTACTGTAACTGGTGTTGCATTATGCTCTCAAGACAGTTACTCAAACTCAGCTGGGTCAAGACCAGTGGAAGAAAGAAAATTCCAGGCACACTAAATGCAACAGCAGATCTAGAAAGATTTTACGCCAAAATAGTCAGCAGATTCTGAGATACCTGTACTACTGAAATGCCTGAGGTCAAAGGGAAAAAAAAGGATGAAAAATTCTCACCAAGTTGCGGCTTCTTGCTGAGGATATCAAAGACTTCAGCTGACTCAAGCTGGCTCAAGTTTGTAGCATGATGCAACATGTGAAGCACTGAGCGGGAGTCCAGTTCACAGAACATCTCACTGGCCTTGGGATCAAATCCAGGGTCGACACCACTCGCAAGAAGAAAGGGCCTGGGAAAGCGTCAAGATATCCTTTGTTTGTGTATCTTGACTTTGTACATAAAGTTTCAGCTTGGAAATTTTTAATTGGTTGTTGACTGCAAAAAGGTATCTTAGATATTTCACCACCCTTGTATGTTTGTTTCTTTCAGTGAGCGAGTTTAGTACCCAGACAGCCCATTCCCACATTGAGGCATGCTAGAGGTTTTTCAACAACTTCAGTAGATGATCCCAATACGACGCTTCAGTCAAACAGACAGCCTCAGTTTCGATGCAGATATGCGCAGACGCCGCTAATGTGAAATCCCTCTATATGTACACATGAGGTTGGTCCTGTCAGGGCAGCCATATCCTGACTCCTATGCTAAGCATGATGGAACAGATTTTAGTGACCCTGCCACTGTCAAAACCCACACTGCAAAAGTTTAATATACTATGCTAGGGGGTTTAACAAAATCAAGCTACAGTATCTTTCCAAAGGTGCTACTGGAATGAGCTGATATACTGAGTCTATGTGACAACGGCAAACAAGAAAATGGCCGGCTTCTGGTTGCAAGCACGTAAGGAATGCAAAAACATTTCCAAGTGGGGTCAGGCTCAGGTACCAGTCCCTGGACACATCCAAACTACATGTCCATGAACCTGTTCACTCAAACTCTCAGCTTCCAACCCAAAAGCCTAAGAGACTATTTTGTTGCAGGCTTAATTCCAACCATACCGCCTGTTTAGTAAGTTCAGCCGGTGGTCCCAGTGAAGATGCATTGTGAGAAGTATGACTCTATGAAATTTCCACAAATACATGATGATGTGATAGAAGCTCACTGCAACAGAGCAGATACTGACAATTTGTCAGTTGATTCTAAAAATCCATCCTTAATTGTTTTTGTCCCAGCTTAACCTATACAGCAATCAATCAGATCTGCAAGCTACCTGGTTTTCTCCAGACACCACTGCACCAGCTGCACCTGGTGGGTCAGCTTCCCACATGCTTGGTCGAGAAGAGGCTCACTGACTGAAGGTGCCTGATAATGATAACACAAAAATGGAGGGACCCAAAACATGCAATTAAAAGTAACTCCTAACCTCTGTGGAGAGTATTTTTGATAAAAAAAATCTCACTTGCGGGGATCATGCGCCACAATTGTAATAGGTACTCTCAATAAAATAACATGCAGAACAGAAATGTGTACCGTGCCGGGAGTATGCAAGGCCTGCAAGAGCCGATTGGCACTATTGCAGCTTGAGACGTGGTTCCATCCAAGCAAGAGCACCAGTGGCTTGAGGGGTACAAACTCATCAGGCGAGAGCAGGGTTACCAGCTCGCTGTACATCCCATCTCGGATGAACGTCATGCTGGTGTCCTGTGCGACACAATATTCCAGCACACGAAAAAAACAGACGAAACTGCATGGGAAGAACCTCAAGGCGCTAAGTTAGAAGAAGCATTTACACACAGGCAGCCTCACTTGATGAGGACTCTTTGCATGACAGAGAAAACATGCATGGAAATTTAATAATTAATAGTTTTACTGTACTCAAGCAGCCCATGAAATAGCCTAAGTCAAATACTCTGAGACATCGTTTGATGGTAAGCAAAACGAGCAAAGCCTGCAATTATGAAGCACACAATGATATGAGTACTCATAGAGGCTAACGCTAACAAACTTGGGTGGGCTATCAAGCAAACTCCAATCTTAATTACCAAGCACAACATGAAATTTCAAAATCCTAACTTCCGTGAAGACTGAATATGGCTTTGTCAACTTGAGACTTTCGATAATTTATAAGGAATGGAATAGGCTCAAAAGTACAAGTGTATGGAGTTGTGATTCATTCATCAGAAGTCATCTGCAAGGCAACTACGTGTACAGGCAAACTGCAACTCATTGCTGTGCCAACGGTTAATGTCCTTTTTACTTCAGTACTCCTGAGCTGATCTGTAACCCATGGGTGTTAATAATACCAGAAAGGAGGCACAGCTCTTTTCGAGGAGGGAGAGGGGAGCATGCACTCAACAGCAGCCGACCGACAAACTATCAACGTGGAGGTTCGATTCGGAAGCATTTTCATGGACACTGGTTCATTGCTTTTCCTCTTTCCTCTGTTCTTTTCCCTTACTTTTCCCCCATTCTTTCCAAGGGGGAGGGGGGACGTTTTCCTCACTTTCTCACCACTCCCGCGCTGTGACCTTTCCTGGAAAGAACCCCACTTTTTCAACAGTGTCCCCCCCCACAAAAACAGACAGAGATGGACAGACTCGAAGACTGACCAGGACATTGGCGAGAATGTGTCTCTCCCTGGACAGCGCCTGGCAGAACATCTCCTTCCAGGCAAGCTCCCGGTCCTCCATGCGAGCCAGCCGCAGCATGATCCGCAGTTCCTGCGACAGCATGTCCAGCTTGGGGTGGGTCACCTCCAGCTGGGTGCTCAGCTCCTGGATCCGCTCAAGCCTCTCGATGCGGCACAGCTCCCTCACGAGGTAGGCTGATCCTCGGCCCAGCAGGGAGGAGTACAGTGATTCCATCCTGATGTAAGCAGAGGCAGCAATTTTTCACTCACACTTTTGAAACCATTGTCACATGGTGTTTTGGTTCCCAGCACTCAACTTTCCTTTATATAAATCTGTCCCGCTTTGAAGGATTTGGCTGGATTGAAACCCACGCTAAACTTGCCATTATGTTAAATTGGTTAAAGCTCCTAGAAGCACAAATTGTGTGGTCCAGTGGAGTGCTTTGGACAGATTGAGACTAAAACTGAGCTCCTAAGCTTCATTTTAAGCTGTAAATAACTAACTCTCAAAGTCATTGTTATACAGACAAAAACACTTATTTTACTTCGTGACAAGTTTGGTAATGCAAGAATTACCTTGGCTGTAACCGTAATGCACACAGCACTCCTGGCACCTTAACAAAATGTTTACATTTACAGTTTTGTTTTATATTTTGCTGTTTAGCATAACCCCAAAAAAGTGATTACTGTAAATTGTCAATGCTCCAATTTTTTTCAGGGTCAGTTTATTGATTTATTTTGTTTACTGTAAATCATATTTTCAATTCTACCACTGGTGGTGACAACTACCGCTACAGTTGAAATGAGCCATGGATAATGATTTAAATCTAACCTACCTCAGCAGTTGGTGAGGGGGTTTAGTCAGGTCCAACAGATTCAGGAACAACAGTTCCAACTGCAGGTCCTCCATCTCCTTGCTGGGGTCCATCAGGGACAAGACCTTGTAGACCCGGCTCACCAGTTTTTCCCTGTTGCCCGGGGCCTGCCGCAGTGCCGAGATGTCCTCCATCAAGCAGTCCACGTACACCTGCTGCAGGCCCCGGTTGTGGGACAAGTGACGCCGGGAGCCGGCCGGGAGTGCCAGGTGACCCAGGAGGGAGTGGCCCAGGTGGGGGTCGCGCTGGACCACAGCCTTCAGGAAGACTCGGATCCTGTCGGTGAGGGACGGCGCGTGGGGGGTGGGCAACGGTGGGTTGCCCAGCTGCTCTGCATTCTTTATGTCCTGGATGTAGATGAAGAGGTTGTACACATCCTGCCGAAAATAAACAAGATGGGAATATAATATACTGACAGTTGCCAACACAATGTGCTATACATGTAAATGTCCAAAACAATGCAATATACAGCAACTGCCCTCCCATTCAAATACAGAGTCTGGACAAACTGCCCTTTCCATGAAAATCAAATGAGATACATGTGATTTATCTATGTACCAGGGAGGTGGGGCGTTAACATATGAAAAGTGGGTCGAATCTTTGACTCCTCAAATAGTATGAGGTTTTATTTAGAAACAATTTATTTAACTTAAAGAAGTAAATACATGTACAATCACTTCAGTGCTTGTGTTACCATGGCTACAGCTGCAAAGAATTTCAAAAAGGGTAAAAAAATCTCTTCCAAAACAAGTCTCGCATGAAGCTGTACCTGTACAACATCCGTGGGGGCGTAACTGCTGGCACTGTGCAGAAGAAGCCTAAACTCAACCAGTGTGCTCACAGAATGAGGTGGTCTCTCCTGAACGGAAAAAAAAAAATCAAGACAAGTGCAGATTTTCTGAAAGGAGATTTTAGTTGCAATGTATGTTGTTGGGTTTCTTGACTGGGTACCATAGGCCTAGTGTTTCCCCTGCCCAACCAGACCTCATGCAGACCATCTCCCTGATTGTAGTGCCACCTCATTAAGAAACAAGAAAAAAATTGAAGTGAACATAAACAACTGTGTAGTCTGTACAATTTTTCGTAATTACATGTAGATTGTTCACGCAAAGAAAGCCAACCAATGCAAGATTGGTTTACAATGGATAGAGGAACTGGCTGATAACAAAGCATGCATTAAAATGTACACAATGAAAGTATACCGTACAGGTACATGTACATGTAGGTTTACATGCACATGTATTACATGTACACCTTACATGTACGTGCACATATATAATGTCCATGGTGAATACATATCCTGGAAAACTTTAGGCCCTGCTGGCATGCTTGGCAATGCTTGCCGATGCATGCACTTTGAATTTTTTTACCACCTCTTTCCATCAAACCCCGAGGGAACTTCGACAAATTGCAACAATTATTACTGTTGGATTTCGACAGGGTATGGAAGAATGGAAAGAAAAGTCCAGACAATCGGCCCCAGGCCCAAAGGTCCTCTCACCATGGACAACTAGAGCTGCTGGATTAAAATTGATGATGACATTGCACACTCAACGTTCTTGTGAAGATGCTGCACATCAGTGACTCTACTAGGGTATGCTTCATACCAAGCGTCGCACTGTGTCCACCAAAGGGTCTCTGATGTACATACATGTTAGGTCTCTGACACAGTTTCCTTTCCAGTGAAGCTTTTGGAGGGCATTGAGTGAACTACAATGTACGTATAAAGGTACTGTGGTAAAAAATACTAGGGTGAAAAACACCATTTTTTTTGTTATTGTAAACTGGTTGGTGACATCTGTGACTCACCTCTACGTCAGAGCTTAGGTTTCTGTGTTCCTGCAGTGCCAACCAAGCCAGATGGTGTGCTGAAGGGACGCTCTCTGATGCCAAACTACACAAAATCAGATTCAAGTCAAATGCTAGGTGTGAAAGTCTTAGAGTATCAGGGCTGAGAAGGGCTGAGAGTGTTACAAATGAACTATGCAAGTTTCTCCTGGATAAAACTAGGGTAAGATATGATGGGCACCAAATGCCGTTACTGTGCATCTGGCTCCCATGCAAAGACACAATGGTTTTGTGCACATTCAGATGAATATCTGTCATTCATGTACAAGGTGCCATATGCATGTGAACAACTACATGTGCGTGCTTGAATTTCTTGCCCTTGGTGGTCAGTCAGTCAGTGCCTCCTGCAGTGTGCCACTCCACTCTATGGAACACTGCTGTATTACAGTGAAACTAGAAAGCACAATGCCTTGTCCCCTAGGGTACAGGAAAATATGATGGTACATGTATGTGAACACTGTGTCCCGCATAATTAAATGCTTGGAAGTACATGTACATGTTCGTAGCAACCCAGTGCATGTACAGTTCCTGCATGGACTCTATTGATGAAACAATGGACATCATTCCTCAAAGAAAATTTTATTGTACTAACATTTTCGAACAAAGGGTAAATCAAAAACTAACATTTATAAGGATGAGCAAAGAAAATGATGGGAGCAGGGTTTGAACTTGCAGCCTCCAGTATACCGTATTGGCGCTCTACCAACTGAGCTATCCAGCCCTATCTTGGTGGCTCCTCCAAATTTATAAATATCTTCATTCAGGGGACTCTAACCAAGAGCTACAGTAGATAAAAACTCAAACAAATTTAAGACTGTACTACATGTACCGGTACAATGTACCTGCAATCGAATGGATGCTCAACTACAGCCTCCAGCACTTTTCTGACGCTGGGCTCAAGCCACTCCCCCTCCCCATATTTCTCCAGCAGTGTTGTGCCGCATGCCCTGACCAGCTCCCACTGGCCCAGGTGGAGATGGTTGCAGAAGGCCACAAAGAGCTGCTGCTGTGACACTTTCTCCTCCTGGCCGAAGGGATGAGTGCTGGTAGAGGTAGGGGTGTAGGTAGCCATCATTAACTGCTCACCAGGTGGCTTTGATGACTTTACTTCGATGTAGTAATCTAAACTACATGTAGATGTATATCCTGTTTAGTAATACATAGGATTGTTTCATTAGTGACTCTGATGGGGACATCCAGGGTTGATGTTTAACAAGCCAGTTTAATATTTCAAAAGGTAACATTATTCGAGAGGTCATTCACAAGCTCAAACATGTTCATCGCAGTTGAACAGCATACAGTCACACTGACAGGGCTGAACTTGAATGCCAACTGCCATTCTGGAATGACCTCCGACGTGCTTCATTTGGACATCTGTTGGAATACCAGGATACTAGGATCACCAAGCCCACTTGAAAAAAAGTCCCCATTTAGAGGGGCATTCCCTCTTTCGGGGGACTGATATTGTCTCTGAATAAAAAGGGACTTCTCTGAGTTTAGGGGCACTCTGTTATTTTAAGAATAATTTGGTGGTGTTTTTTTTTCAGATGGTCGCAAATGTTAACAATCTTGAATCTTGTGCAAATTTATTGTACTCCATCCCGAGACCATTTGTGTTTGAAGAAAATCCATTGATGGGATAATCAACTCCGGAGAGAGTCACCACACTAAATCTGTCGTTTTAAATTTTTGATTTCCAGAGCAAATACGCAGAAAAGATCCACAAAATATTTACCAACATAAAGGAGAAACCTTGTTCTTTTCAATGATATACTTTTCAGGGAGACTTGCATGCAATTTCAAGTCAGAATTGTCTGTTGACTTTTTTTTTCAATGGAGTGATCCCGATCACAGGCGCGGCCATCTTGATTTTTAATGTGTGATGTCATATTCTCAGGTTTCCTAATTTTTGTATGTGAGAGTTTGGTGCATGTAAATAATTCTAGTGAGAATTGGATAGAAAATGAAACAAGCTTTCATATGGTACCAAACTTTGACGAATTTGGTGTACTCTGAAGGTAGTAAAACGATCTACATGTACATGTATGGAGAAGTTGTGAATCAAAAAGGTATTTTTATCCCATAACATTTTTCGGTGGGGAAAACCTACTTAAAAGGAGGTTGAAGAGGCTAGAAAGAATGATTTTTGGGAACATTATCCAATACAATGGTATAAAAACTGTGACACCTTTTTATGTCACACTACCACCGCAAAAAAACTTTTATGAAATGTATCATTTTGGATTATGCCTGCAAAATGTGTTTCAAGGCTGAGTGTGTATTGTAACATAAGATGGGCATCTGAACTGAAAATGAGAAGGAAAGTTTTGGTGAATAAATTTGGATGAATAGGCTAATCATGCCTTGGCTTTTTATCAGTTTCAACAAGTGGGACTAATTAATAGAAACAATGATACATATTATCAATTAACACAAAAACTTTTTGAGCAAAATTAGGAATGTACATGTACAAGTGGCATGTTTGGTCGTTCGTTGCTGTAAACATGTGTACATGTGACACTGTTCATTTTTTTGAGCACAGACTTCTGTTTATGCATATCCTCTTGAGTCATGAACTGAACACCACCAAATAGTATTAAGAATGTCAGGGACTATCATGTGGGGCTGTTCTTTCTGGTTCTTCTGGTACAATTAATTGTCCGGTTCCACAAATTGTCTGGTTCTGCAAAATCTAGAAAATGGTCTTTGTTTTCATAAAGATGGATGGGCAAAGACTTGGTTTATAGTTCTGTCAGACAGTTTACTTGAAGATCTTTCAGAAAAAAATTATTTTACTTGCGGACCCACCGCATGGAATCACGAAGAGCGGCTACGACTGTTTTTTTGCCGATCGTAGTTCACAGAAACTGTGCCTGTGCATTCTGCGCTATGTTGTGTTTGTCGCTCTTTTACACAATCATCACAGTATTTTTTTTAAAACCAGTGACCGTGCTGCCATCAGAAATACATGTAATCTGATTTCCCGTCCTGAAAATATGAGGTATGTGCTCTGTAAAAATCTGCAAGTTTTGGACACAAAAGTAACTGCAAGACTTTTGTCCAGCTCCGCGAATAAGTTTCAGCAGACCAAAGCTGGAAAATGGGTGTCTGGAAATTGGGCATATAACCTCGTTATACACTATACGTGTACATGGTACGTTGAAGAATAAAAAATTCTTTGTTTTAATGCTGACTACCATTATACATGATTTGGTTTTTTAATTTACTCACTCCACAACATGCATAAAGGCAAATCTCTCCAAACTGACCTCCAAAAATTGATCAATGTTATAAATCTTCAGTAAATTTCTTATCTCAAAAGAACTGACTTTAATGCCATGGGGTATTTCAAATGCTGGTGAATGGAGCATGTTGGAAAAGTGGGTAAATGCACTTGAAAGAATAAATCTGAACATTTCTCTTTCAGCCACAAAGAAGGCAACAGATTTTTGTATAGATATAATGGACTCTACAATTTCTTGAAAAGAAAGCTAGTGGTCCAGATTGCTACTTACAATCACGGCCTTTTCCAGTCTTTTTTTGTTATTATAATGATGTAAATAGGGCGGAAACGATACACCTGTGTCACGATACGATACATGCCAAACGATGCGAAATGTATTTTGATACATGTACATGTACATCTGAATTATAAGAACAAATAAAATCATGACAACTGAACACACTCAGCTTGCTCAGGACCCAAGCAACTGTAATGAGGAAAGATAATGCTGGTTTCAAAATACTTACATTTCAGCAAACTTCATGAACCTGGGAAAATATCAAGTTTTCAATGTGTAATTTTATCAGATTTATAAAGCTCATACAGTTGATAGGCCTAGTTGTTGTATGAATTCTTTAATTTGGATTTAGCCACACGAATTAGCTATACTTGATGAAAAAAACCATGTGCATACTGCGGCTTCGAGTGCGTTGTACTAAAACATAGAACATGTACATATATACACTGGACAGCAAAAGGAACTTGCCACTTCTGTCATAGGCCACACAAAAGCACTCTCCACCAAGCAAAAATGATCCNTTATATCCTGTTTAGTAATACATAGGATTGTTTCATTAGTGACTCTGATGGGGACATCCAGGGTTGATGTTTAACAAGCCAGTTTAATATTTCAAAAGGTAACATTATTCGAGAGGTCATTCACAAGCTCAAACATGTTCAGTGCAGTTGAACAGCATACATGTACAGTCACACTGACTGGGCTGAACTTGAATGCCTACTGCCATTCTGGAATGACCTCGGACGTGCTTCATTTGGACATCTATTGGAATACCAGGATACTAGGATCACCAAGCCCACTTGAAAAAAAGTCCCCATTTAGAGGGGCATTCCCTCTTTCGGGGGACTGATATTGTCTCTAAATAAAAGGGACTTCTCTGAGTTTAGGGGCACTCTGTTATTTTAAGAATAATTTGGTGGTGTTTTTTTTCAGATGGTTGCAAATGTTAACAATCTTGAATCTTGTGCAAATTCATTGCGCCAGTACTCCATCCCGAGTCCATTTGCATTTGAACAAAATCCATTGATGGGATAATCAACTCAGGAGAGAGTCACCACACTAAATCTGCCGTTTTACATTTTTGATTTCCAGAGCAAATATGCAGAAAAGATCCACAAAATATTTACCAACATGAAGGAGAAACCTTGTTCTTTTCAATCATATACTTTTCAGGGAGACTTGCATGCAATTTCAAGTCAGAATTGTCTGTTGAATTTTTTTTTTTTCATGGAGTGATCCCGATCATGGGCGCGGCCATTTTGATTTTCGATGTGTGATGTCATATTCTCAGGTTTCCTCATTTTTTGTGTGTGAGAGTTTGGTGCATGTAAATAATTCTTGTGAGAATTGGATAGAAAATGAAACAAACTTTAATATGGTACCAAACTTTGAGGAATTTGGTGTATTCTGAAGGTAGTAAAATGATCTTCATGTACATGTATGGAGAAGTTGTGAATCAAAAAGGGATTTTTTTTCTTCATAACTTCGAACATTTTTCGGTGGGGAAAACCTAATTAAAAGGAGGTTGAAGAGGCTAGAAAGAATGATTTTTGAGAACTCTGAACATTACCAAAAGAATGGTATAAAAATCGCGACACCTTTGTATGTCACACTACGACCGCAAAAAAACATTTATGAAATGCATCATTTTGGATTATGTCTGCAAAATGTGTTTCCAGGCTGAGTGTACACTGTAACATATTTTGTAACACACATGGAATGGGCGTCTGGACTGAAAATGAGACAAAAGTTTTGGTGAATAATTTTGGAGGAATAGGCTACTAATGCCTTGGCTTTATATCAGTTTTAACAAGTTCCTTTTATTGGACTAATTAATAGAAACAATGATACATATTATCAACACAAAAACTTTTTGAGCAAAATTGGGAATGCACAAGTGGCACAGACTTCCGTTTATGCATGTCCTCTTGAGTCATGAACTGTACACCACCAAATAGCATTAAGAATGTCAGGGACTATCATGTGGGGCTGTTCTTTCTGGTTCTTCTGGTACAGTTGATTGTCCGGTTCCACAAATTGTCTGTTCTGCAAAATCTAGAAAATGGTTTTTGTTTCCATAAAGACAGACTGGCTGAAGACTTGGTTCATAGTTCTGTCAGATAGTTTACTTAAAGGTCTATCAGAAAAAAATTATTTTACATGTACTTGTACGGACCCACCACATGGAATCATGAAGAGCGACTACAACTGTTTTTTGCCGATGACAGTTCGCAAAAACTGCATTCTGCTCTATGTTGCGTTTGTCACTCTTTTAAAAAATAGTCACAGCATTTTTTTTTTCAAACCTGTGACCGTGCTACCATCAGAAATACATGTAATCTGATTTCCCGCCCTGAAAATATGAGGTGTGTGCTCTTTAAAATCTGCAAGTTTTGGACACAAAAGTAACTGCAAAACTTTTGTCCAGTTCCGAAAACAGGTTTTAGCAGACCAAAGCTGGAAAATGGTTGTCTGGAAATTGGGCATATAACCTTGTTATACACTATACGTGTACATGTGCGTTGAAGTACAGTGTATAAAAAGTTAGTATGCTACCGAGTCGCTGCCTGTACACAAAGCAAGTCTGTAAATAATCTCTGTAGCGAGATTCCAAGTGGTTGTCCTTATTTTCACATAGATGTACATGTGTCAGTTGTTGACTTAATTCTTCTATTTTCAGTCAAATAGAAGAACCTAACCAGACTAATAGCCTATGCCAACAAACATGACATATCAGACCAAGTACCGGTACATGTACACACATATACATGAACATGTAAAAAAGTTTGCCTAATGTTTTTTGGCCTCCCCGACTGTGGAATTTTCTGGCCTGCTTTTGGTTTAAAAATGTACCGTACATGTATTTTTCCTTTTTCATTTTTTTCCCCCAGACAATCAGCTAATTTTGCCTTCATGCAAAACAGTCTTGATACGAAAGAGTTACATGTATTAAACTTTATTGAAAGTATGGACATTTCTTTGTTTTAATGTTGACTGCCATTATACATGATTTGGTATTTTCATTTACTCACTCCACAACATGCATACATGTAAGGGCAAATCTCTCCAAACTGACCTCCAAAAATTGATTAATTTTATAAAACTTTCAGTAAATTTCTTATCTCAAAAGAACTGACTTTAATGCCATGGGGTATTTCAAATGCTGGTGAATAGAGCATGTTGGAAAAGTAATGCACTTGAAAGGGTAAATCTGAACATTTCTCTTTTCAGCCACAAAGAAGGCAAATTTCATTAAAAACTCATGAAAACATTTTCTAACTTCTTCTAGCCCTCATCTGTGATCAAAAGTTTCAAAATAGTGGTATGTGCACGTACCTAGTAGGTTGGTCACTAATTGGCACAGTTGTGTAGGGTTCAGTTTGAGGAAATATTTATGACTTGACTAATTGATGTCACTACTTCCCATATACAGATTAGGAAAAACATTAATAATAGGCTGATATGTATCCAAAGAAGAAATTGACATGCACAGCAACTTGGTTACTGAATCAAAAGTCACACCCAAAAGCACTCTCCACCAAGCAAAAATGACCCATGAATGGACAACATTTTTAACAACCAATGACAAAGTGAACACCTGTTTTGTCAAAATGATGTGCATGAGTGGTTTCTGTATAGGGATGCCATCCTTTCTGACTATGCATACACATTATTGAAAAGCAATGATAGTGACTTCTTTATTTC